AGACAGCCCTTCATTTTATTGTGAGACTGATTCCTTTCTGATTCCCCTTTATTAATCTATTTGCTAGTGCGTAGGTTAATTATTAGATATTGCAGTCAATGACATAGAGGATATAATGACAGTCTTCCAAAAGAAGGAGGAAAGCTCTTAATTATAAAACATTTACATTGGTTTTATTGCAAATCTTAATTGCGACTTCAGGTGGCCCTATTCACTGCATTTATGCATTTTTTTACAAGTTCCAGGATTTTTATTACCTCTCAGAACCCTTCTTTAATAGTAAATTTTTTTAAATTTTTATAATATCCCTATGACACTAGTCCCAGAAAGTCAATATATAATTATTTTCTTTCTCAAGGAAAACTGTATTATTCCTGCTTCTCCCATAAGTATATCTTAACTTGTTAGTACATCTGTATCTCAGTATTTTCTTTAATTCTTAAAAAGAATGTGGTTGGGATTGGAAAAAAGCAGATGTATGGTCTATGTGTATGCAGTAGAAAATGCATGAAATTGTGAGTATAGGTCATTTTTACTAATCATTTGAAGAAAACTCTGAATTAAAGTGTAATTACTGAAATATGAATAGAGATTTTACATAAGTAATTAAAACACAGTCTGTTTCTAGTAGTTTTCATGGTAAAGAAAATCTGAAAATGGTTACTCAGAAGAATCAGCACTATAGATCACTTCTGAGCAAGTTTTGCAACTGGAAATATCAGTTTCTAATATTATGTGAGAAAAAATGCAGAAATCTGAAAAGTTGCACTTATTTTATACCTCCTTTTCATTCTTTTGTTTTTCATAGGCACTATAAAGCAGTTTAAGCTTAACTGATGAAGAGTTGTTTAGAAGAGGTTATGACTGGCATCTGTCTGTTTCAGGTCTTAGCAGCTTCCACTCAGATATTTGAAAGGGATGAGTATTTACTTTTTCAGTTTTGCCCTCTCTTCTAGGGTCTTTTAGTTGCTGCTTTCACAAGTTATGTGCTTGCTGTTAAAATACTTTTCCTTCACACTTGCCAAGTTAGATGCTTGCCTGGGGCATTTGGCCGGCAAACAGATAGTTACATATTGGTAATGGCAGTAGGTGCAGACGTGACTTTGCAGACTGAAGCAGCTGTGACAGAGGGGCTGCAATTTGACAAGGTTTTCTTTAAAGAACACACTTTTCGACACAGATCAAGATTGTTAATTGAAGGGCCTTCTCTTTGGCTGGCTGGTTCAGGGGAGATGCACAACACAGAATAGCAAAGTAACTTTATCAGTACACTTACCCCATCCTCCCATATTTGTGGTGGTGCATGTTGCTTGGCTGTTATTTTCTTTTCCCCTGCTATCTTTTTTCCTCCTCCTGCTTCCTTTTTTCACCTTTGTTTCTGCTCTTAATCATATCTTGCAGTCCTCTTCCCCGGCTTCACATCATGTTTTTGCCTTTCAACTCTCAAGTTTGCATGTGTCTTCTTGGACTGGATCTACAGTAGATTTCAGTATGAAATGTTCAATTACAGCACACATTGCTTTCATGCAAAACATCTCAATTGCAAATTTAAGTTAACCTAGCTGAAGAATAAACATGAGACTATATTAAAATTAAGAAGTTAGGAAAATATGAAGACTTGTATTTTTCTTGTTTTCTTCCTAATATTTTTTCACATATATATATGTAAAACTCTGACGATCCAGAGTAGGATTTGTTAGGTTTAATTTTTAATTCCATTTTTAATTCACTTTTTTCATGGCATTGTTTGGTATTAAGATTGTTACACTGTTGGCCGCCATATGAAAGCAGAAAGAAATTTAAATGAAGGCAGCTCAGATACAGTTGTGGTTAACTGGATGGTTCAGTCTATGATATTGCTACTTCCAGGGAGTACAAACTTTGCTCACCTGCTATGGATAAAACAGGTCCAAAATGGCAGTATGGTAGTATTTTGGAGGATTTCTACTTACTTGGAATTTAAGGGCATATACATTAAGATACATGAGCCGTTCAGAAGGATGGAGGAGGGAGTTTGGTAGCTTACATTTCTTTTCAATCTCACTGTAAACTTTTTTTTCTACTTGATTACTAGAAATTACCGAGATGCTATTGTAAACAGTCAGATTTAATGTGAATTATGGACTGTTTGGAGAGTGGTGAGCTGTTTCTGACAAATGATGAGAGGGTTGTTTGAGGGGTTGTGATTTTGTTTGCTTTGGTTGCTTTGCTTTGGTTTTGGGTTTGCATTTGTTTTTTGTAACTGTGGCATTTTAAATAGATACAAGTCACTTTATATTGATGTGGTTATTTTGTTTCCGTTTCAGCTTATTTGATATGCTAAGATAATTGAACCTCTTCTTATTAAGACTTGCTAGATATGTGAACTAAAGCACCAGGTATATGTTTGGGGTTCTCATTAAATGATTTTAATTATTTCATTAGTGTGACTGCACTGATGAAAAGGTGTTAAGATTTCATCATCTTCCTCTTCTGCAGAGATCAGCTGAGGCAGGTTAATGTTGTTGGATTCCTGTGTTTGGAGATAACTAAAAAGTCATGGGAGACCAGAATGCTTTGACTTTGCTTCTCTGCTTTACCAGTTTCTATCCAAATGCCTGCTGAAATCTAAATTAGGAGTTGAAAGACTTGTTCCTGAATTTCCTTTTCATTCCTGGACTTGAGATACCTACAGGTATCTGAAAACTGTGTGCCAACACTACAGAATATAGAAATGGATACTCACCTCCTTTTGAATGTAGGTGGATGCCTTTATGGCAGGCATAATTAGCAGTCTGTTTTGTGTGGGGATTACACTGTGCTCCCCTAGGTAGGAAACACAGTATTCGGCATTTTTGGGTTTTCAAGTTTCCTTAAAAATTTCCCGTACCCCTATATTTCATTTGAGGGAAGTGCATGGTTGGTGAACAAAGGGGGAATCTAGTCAGGGAGGCTGGGGAGTCAGGACTGCATGGAGTGCTGTGTGTAGGGTACAGCATCTGCTTGGAGTAGCTGGAGTGTGTGCCCTGGAACTAGGACTGGGGGATGTACCACAGAGCACCGCTCAAAAGGCTGCCCTGCTGATCTGCAGCTTCTAGTGTGGGTTGCTGAAAGAATATAACTGGTTATGGATGGATAGCTCCTGATGAAGTGTGGCTGAATAAGAGAAGGTCTTTCTTCCTGAGAATTGCATGAATGAAACCATGTCGGCTGATTTAATACATGCCTGTTTAACTAACTCAAGATTTTGGTGTTCCAGACACTTGGAAGCTCTAAGAACTTTATTGACTGGCACAGTCAAGTAGGGCTTCAAAACAGTTAGCTGTCACACAGAGTATTTTCCTAAGAATTTGTATTTCCTTGCAGAGGAAGAATTTAAAGGAAATTGCTTCAGACTAATGTATTTTATAGTGGAAAGAAATTAATATCTTGGTGTCAGCTTTTTTCTTTTTCCAGTTCCTTATAAATCTCCCTCTCCATTTTTCAGTCTCCTTTCCCCTGGCAGAGAGAACCATAGTTCAAAATACACATTGTTGACTGGGAAGATCATCAAGTTGGAATGAAATTCCTCTTGACTTGATGCTAATCAGTTTATCATTGATTATTTTAATGTGCTTTTTATGGTTCAAGTGGGTAAATCAGCTCATCATACTAAGAAAACTGAAGCTAGAAAGTATTTTAAATAGAAACCACTCAACAGAAGAATTCCATGGTTAATAATTCTGAAATATGTTTATGTATAGCAAAGATAAGAGTCACTATAGAGATCTCTTCTATCACCTGTGAACATAAGTAGTTAGATATTTCTTACTCAAATTGTGTATCATAGTTTATTAGCAGAATTTCATCAGTGGCAGCATCAGAACTTAAGGCAAGAAGAAATCAGGCCGTAACAATGCATAATGAAGAGAACAATCACATCACGCACTCCAAATTCAGTGACTGATAATTCATACACAGCTTTTGCTTGCATTTAGTTATCATATGATACCTCTTTTGCCTCTCAGAGCCTTGCCTGTGCGAGAATCGTCTTTTGGACCTCCTTAAAGGCTTAGTTTTACCCAAATGAAAGGTCATAGAGCAGACAATCTCTTCCACAAAACAAATCAACAACAACAACAAGGAAACCACAACTAATTTTTGCAGCAAGGAACTAGAATATCATTCAAGGTTTTTTCCTAGAAAGTATATTTAAAAACACAGAAATATATAGGATCTCCTCTGTATTTTTTTATCACCTACAGGAAAATGTTGGTGTTCCCTTCAGTCTGAACAGCCAAGAGACAGCAGTTGATCCAGAAGATAAATCTTGTTTGATGGTCCTCTAAGGCATTTGTTATAACATTAAGCTTAAAAGATCCTTTTATGCTAAAGGGATGGTTACATCTCTCTACTCATATATAGAATTATTATTCATGTGTAGCATAATAGAATGCTAAAATTTGTGCTAATGAGTGAGAAAGCAGTAATGAAATTACTGGATACAACTGGATCTTTCTGATTGCTTTTGATAAATTTTTAAGCATACAGGTTCCAGTGTAGCTTTCCCCTTTTCTTGTTGTGAAGTCAGTGTCTTAATAACCACATAGACCAGGCTGTCTCAAGATAAGTAATGTATTGTCCTGGTGACTGTTCTGTCAAAAGATTATACTACTACAGAGGAGAGCACAGATTACAACCAGATTAAAATGTTAAGCGTCATTGTTGAAGTATACCCTATAACAGCAAATTGTTAAGCATTTACCTGTAAAACAATATTCTACTAGTCATCAGGGTTTTTTACTCTTGACAAAGCTAAAAGTACTTTGATACTTGTTACTGCAGTACAGTCACTTGGTTATCACCTGTTCTTCAAGTCCTGGGATATTCGTCTGAAATTTCCTTCTTCTGTTCATTTCATCAGTTCCTTTCTAATAAGTATCAATTTTGAGACCTCTCCTTCTGAATGTTCAGTTTGTGTCCCTTTTCCGCCTGTGTTCTCTGGATTTGCTTTTGCAAAATGAAGGAGTTTTGTCTTTCAGAGCGGGAAGGTCACAGGAAGTGAATCAGGAGGTGTCATTGATCTTACACTGGATGAAGAGGATGATAACTCTTCTCCAGGTAGGTGGAAGATATTTTGCGAACTGCAGGGGTAATTGAGCTACAAGTATTATTTCATCACATGAATGACAGAAAGTAATAAACTTATGTTTCTGCTTATAGTGTATTTTTTCCTTGATGTTTCAGTTAAATACAACTGTTGTTAAAAAAATTGATAGGTGTTAAATAAAAGGAATTTTACTCATAGTCTGTAAGATTTTTACCTTTCCCTTAATTTAAGTATTGTTGCTATCTATTCTTAAATCTGTTAGGCTTGGAGAGTAATTTGAGGCGTTTGAGTTCTTGATAATATTTTAGCAAGTTCTTCTAGATATATTTCTTTTTTCTCTTTATTGATTAGTTAAAGACCATTTAATTCTACAATTGGTATTCAGGCATTAGATTACTACAGCTTCTAATCTTTTGTTTAACTAAAATGCTTTGTTGCAAGGGTTTAAAGACTAAATGCAAATCTGTTGTTTGCTGCCAAGATCAGAGTAAATATAGTTGTGCTCTTATATCCTTTGGCAGTTTGGATGCACTTCATCTTCTAAAAGAATACCTTTCTTTTTTTATAAGTCTTGCGTAAGTTTAGGCAGATCTAATTATAGCTAGCGTTGGATTAGTGAAGAATTATAGTACTTCAGAGAAGAAATAAGAGTCTGTGCTTAGACCATGTATTGTGCTGCCATCTTCATTGAAAAAAACCTATATTTCTGCTGTTGGAGATAATATTTTCTTTCTGCGTGGTCCCTAAATGCATGTCCCTGCACTGCATTCTGAAGTCCAGCCACCAAGAGGTTTGATTCCTCTGGACAACCTCAGCAGCTCTTTCTCCAGCTAGTGCATTCAGGTTCTACACAAACGTTCTTAATAGCTTAAATTGCTTTATTTGTATTACACAAATGTAGAAAATCATATTGTCACGTGGTAGCATTTCTTTCAGTGAGGAAGAAATCATAGCCATAGAATGGTTTGGGTTGGAAAGGACCTTAAAGATCATCTCATTCCAACCCCCCTGCCATGGGCATGAACACCTTCCACTAGACCAGGTTGTTCAGAACCCCATCCAGCCTGACATTGAACACCTCCATGTGATGTTATCACCAAAAGTGGAGTGCATGTGGTATACAAGTATTAGGGAAGCATGATGTAATTCAGATAGCTGACCATCTGGTTCTTTTATCAGTAGAGAATATGTGGTGCACACTGAATCGAGTATGAGCCAACAGTGTGTTCTCATTTCAATTTAAGTAATTACTCCTCCTATATTGACACTGGTGGGACCACAGCTGAAATACAGTGTCCAGTTTTGGCTCCCCCTTCCTTGACTTCAGAAGAGTTGTGGTAGCACTGGAGAGGGACTCACAGATGGTGTCAGGGTGGTGGGGGCCTGAAGTGTATGACCTGTGAGAAGAGATCAACAGACATGGTGTGTTTGGCAAAGAGCAAAGCAAAAGACAACATAATAGTAGCCTACAACCACGTGGAGGATCATTACAAAGATGATGGAGCACAACTTCTTAGCAGAACCATGAACTACAAGTTCAGGAGGTTCAAGTTGAACTTGAGGGGAAAAGAAATCACCGTAGTGCAGCACAGAGCGATGGTGGAAGCTCCACTCTCAAAATGTTCTTAGGTTTCAGCAGGGCAAAGCCACAAGCCATTTGAATTAGTGTTGGTGACAGTCCAGCTTCAAGAAGAAATTGGACTACATGGCCACCAGAGGTCATTTTCAGCCAGGATTTTGAATTGCTGAGTGGCAGAATAGCTCAGGCAATCAAGTTTTTACCACTGTCATCTCTTCTGAGTGTTAGTTCTCAAAAAGATAAAAAAGATGGTTGCCCTGGGATTGTGCAAGCCTGTCAGATAAGGTTAAGCTTCCCAGTCCTGCTTTAACATTCTATAAAAGACACTGAGCAGATAGATCTAAATGGATTTATGGTATGGTTTAAAGTAGTGTGTCACAGTATTGTAATGTATTGCAGCTAATCTTTTTCTATCAAAAGTAACATTTTCCAGAGAGTTTTTCTCTCCCTGATTGCATTAAGTAGATGTTCACAATTGCCATAAAAAATCAACACTGTGGTTGCATGTAAGATGCTTCTCTGGGTAGGAGTGCTGCGGAGTTGTAGCTCAATTACAGTGTAGTAACTTAACTCTTCCTCAGTTTCTTTGTTGGGGCTCGAGCCTATATCTTAAAGATTTCTCCAGTGGGATATTCTGAGATTCTTTCCCCTTAGTTGTCACATTTTAGAAAACTGTCCTTCCATTAGGAGGAAGGTTAGTGGGGTACTTCCAGGCTGGGTTAGCTCCTGTGTGTCTCTTCCCTGCAAAGCAGAAGCCAGACTCTTACTGATAGTCTGAAACCACGCAGATTAGTTCATGTTTAGAGTTTATGTGAGGAGTCAGTATGTTTTACATAAGCTGTAGAAACACAGGAACCAAAACCCTAGTAAAAGCTTGAGTTTCACAATGCAGTGAGAACAGATCACTAGGATTTTTGAGTAAGTTTCTTGGGAATGTGTTCTGATAATAATCAGGTTAGAGGAAGAGTACACTTCTGACAGCTTTTGCATAACCATATGTATCTGTATACCTTTGGCTAAATGTTTTTTTCCACTGCACTTTGTTTACAGCAAATGTGGAGCAAGTTTTATGTTGTTCTAGATTTATTGGTACACAACCTCGAAACAGAAAATACCTAAAGCATTATGGTGTTTTCTGCAGGAATATTAGTTCAGTATTAATTCAAGTAGAAGAGCAACACTTACATAGTGTTCTTGGGAACACTCAGATCCTGATTATTTTCTTTAAAGCATTGTCACCCACATATAAAGTAAACCCAATTAAATACCTTGTAAAAGGTATTTAAATAGATATTAATATCTACTAATATCTAATAAAACCTGATGTGTGCAAAAATTGTTAATGAAAATGTTGTGTAACCTTCAAGAAACCATGTTAATAATTTCTGTTCAGAACAATTGTCAGCCTTTCATCAGAGTAATCTGGATACTTTTCTGTCTGCAAGTATCTTATAATACTTGTATTTTGGACCTTGCTGTCCTTCTTATAAAATATTGGTATAGCAGATGGCATCAAATTATTTTATAAGAATATTATTATTAAAACAATAAAGTGGCTTTGTGATCTAAGAAAGATATGTTCCACTTTATTTTGTAGGAAAAATTATTAAATACATAATATTGGGGTTTTATTTTATAAGGTGTTTTATCTGATTAACAAATCTGTAGTTTCCTGGATGCTTTTTATTTTCTTATTCTTGAACATGGGTATGGCATGTTTGCTGTTCTGTAATCCCACTATGCCGGTTATGAATTAGTACAGTGTTTAAAACTCCTTCGTTCTATAACTGCAGTGTTATAGGCCCAGTTTCTGGCGTGGAAATTAGCCCCTTTTCCATCTTGTGTATTAGATTAGGGGTTTTGCTTACACCTTCAGTAGAAATGATTTCCATATTATGCTCATTTCCATAAATCAGATTTTTCCATCTCCTGTACGTCCATGTTTGTTATGAATATGATGCTGTGTTCATTTAATATTGGAACTGTTTCTTAATTACTTTAAACCTTAGTTCTGTGCTTACTATGCACCAAGTCTTCCTGTTTTCCTTGCTGTTTTTTTATTTACATAGCCTTTGCCATTTGTTTCCATTTATTGGCAAAGTCTAGATGGTTATCTTTCATCGTTTCCTGTGGCTCATGCAATCCTGACCTAGTTTCCAGCGGCTGGAATGTCAGCAGGGTTCTTGATTTGTCAAGGATAAATGAACTTGCTCTGTGTGAGATTAAAAACAAAAGTAAAACTGAAAAAGCTCTCACATTTGTCCAGACTGACATTTTCCTAGGGAAAAAACCTACATTTTTACAGCAGTAGTGTGTCTGGGATTTTACTTGTTGGATTATAAGCACATCTTCTAAGTCATGACTAAGAATGCACCAATGTCACTTGAATTATTCAGTGGTAGTTGAAATGTGCATCAGTCTGTAAATATTTAAAGTAAACAGATGTGTACATCTCTGTATGAATCTCTTCAGAATCAAGCAGTTTGAACACTGGGACATTTCTCTTCGCAAAAGAAGCTTGAACTAATCACAAGGCCTCTTAGTTGATGAAAGAGCAAGAAACATCTCACCTTCTGTTTTCAAAATGAACATCCCTTTACTGCTCCTTTTATAGACTTTGAAAAAAGAAAGAAAATTTTATTTTGATCACATGGCTTCAGTGAAGTAACTTGGCTCTGGAGTCAACAGAAAGGTCTACAATTCATACTGTTTTATTTTTGAGGTCTTGAATTTGGGGATATGGTTTAGGGGTGATTATGGCAGTGCTGGGTTGACAGTTAGACTAGATCGTCTTGAAGGTCTCTTCCAACCTTGATGATTTTGTGATCCTGTAATTGCATTTCATAGAATCCTATAGCAGTTTCTGAAGGGTACTGCTACTTCAAGCTGTTAGTAGCCAGTGTTAAAGGCAGCTCGCTGAGACCATCAAAATTGTCTCAAACCGCTAAAATCCACAAAATTTTGAGCTATGCTGCCATTAACCCTGTTCTTAATGTTTGAAATCTAGTTGGTATACTTAATTGCAAGTTTCAAAAAGGTGTTCTTCACTATATTGTTTTCTCAAGAGTAAAATGAGTATTAACGTATTTTTATATTATATGCTCTTTTACTAAATTAGTGGCTGCTGCATGTACAATTAGGGCAAATCTTTTTTGAATGAGTGCCCCTAAAACCTACTCATTTATCTTGTGCTTTTTAGCTCTTGATGGTGTCTTCTCTGCCCACTGTTAAACTCTAATCTAGTTGAACTATCCAGGCAAAAGCTTCTCAGTTCTTCTTTATTCAACTTACGCAGAGGCTTGATTAGATGTGGACTTGCACCCTAATGAATATTTTATGTTGTCACAAATAAACTAAAGGAGGAAAAAATGTTGCTGTAGTAAACTACAGATACAGACACTATTTGTCACTTCTCACAAGTCAGTAAGTCACATTGAGGATGATGTCAATGTGAGAAAACAAATTTTCTTTTCTACAAATAATAAAGTGATTCCCCTTTTCAAGCAAATAGCATGAAAATTAAAAACAGCAACAAACAGGACTGACTAACAGATTGAATGAATGAAAGAGTCAGCAAATAACAAAAAGATATAAGCATCAAAGGTAGACAAGGCCTTTTAAAGGGTTTAGGATATCTTTTTTTTTAACAGAAACTTTTAAAGACTTTGGCATAGTGTTCCATTACATTCAGGTTTCCAAATTGCACTGAAATATGCAGACTTCATGATGATAGGATAGAACATTATGGAGTGAGGTGGGGGGAGATTACGATGATGAAAGTGAGGGGGGTTGAATGAATTTTCTGCAGATTTGTTTGCAGAATGAAAAGGTCAAAGAAATGTCATGCTCAGAAATATACTCACTAATCTGTAAATGGGGACAGGGGAAAGAGATTTTAAAACTCTGTGACGTTTAAAATTCTGATTCAGAAATTAAAATTTCTATTTGCTATTGTCTATAACTTTATTTTATTTTAAAGCAGATGGCAAGACGCAGAAGCAGAACCAGACACCAGTTACAGGACTGAGCATACCCACGCAGCCCTTGGCTCGGCCCTTGCAACCCAATTTGCCGCCTTTGCAGCCAAACCCTGTGCAGCAGACAGGTGTGCCGACCAGTGGGCCTTCCCAGACCGCTATACATGTATTACCTACAGGTAGCTTCATCTTACTTCGTCACAGTGGGAATACAGGGGCTGATTTTTTCTTAGACTTGACTCTTGTGTGTTCTACATTGTGCTAATCTTTTCAAGTGAATATTCAGAATGTCTCGGTTGCTTCTTAATCTTTCATTCTGGTCAGTTTCCCATAACTTTTTTTTTCCCCCAAAAAAAATTTTGAAGTAAAAGGGCAAAATAGTATTATTGGTTTGGAAAGAATTCAGGATCAAATTAATTCCATGGGGAGGAAGAAATCCTACTAAGGGTGGTCACGGAAGTTATTAAATATCCTGTTGTTTGTAAAAGTGAAGTAGAAAAATCTGTGATAGCTGCCTCATACAAGTAATGGGGAAAAATATTATCAACATCACTCCTACGTCTGTCCCTGTGCACTTGGCAGTTAATCCTTTTGGCAGAGTGAGTGGCAAGGCTGGCATTGAAGTTCAATCCCTAGATGAATATTATTTTCTCTGTAGTGTGATTAAGTTTTTCCCCTTTCTTTCTAACATAAAGAAACATAGATCCTCTTTTTTTTCCCCTTATTTTACTCTATTTTGCTGTATATGATTGTTGAAGATTAGTTGGTGCTGAAATTGTCTTATGACTGATCTGTTCTGCAGGCTCTTTGGTGGTGGGTTTTAGATTCTCCACCACTGTCCTTACATTCAGGACCTTTGGGAGCAGGGGAGGTATAATATTTATCTTTTCTGTTAGAAATTTGTATATATATTGACATTAACATTTCAGGTGAAAATACTGTATGTTTAGACTGTTTTCACTTTTCTTGCATTATCAAAATCAGATAGAATTTCACAGAGCCAGTTTTTATTTTACATGGCTCAGATGAGTCAGTTTTCCAAAGGAGATGTGTACTCTGGAATAGGCATATAGCTTCATGTCATGGAATTCGATTCCAGGGTCTGTCTGTCTTTTTTCAGCTCCGACAACAGTGAATGTAACTCATCGACCAGTGACTCAAACTACTCCAAAGCTTCCTATACCAAGAACCCCTGCTAACCATCAGGTGGTCTATACCACTATTCCTGCACCACCAGCTCAGAATCCTGTAAGAGGAGCTGTCATGACAAATCCAGGTTTAAGGCCAGTCAACCCACAGGCTGGAGGTAGGGGATGATTCCTTCCATGCACTTCTTACCGTGACACTACCTCATGGATGTGGGATTTAGTTTTTTGGTTTGGGTTTGCTGTTTGGGCTCTTTACAATACTAGTCCAAGTTACAGAGGTTAAGGGTTTTTTTCCAGCTTACAGACTTGGGAAAAATGTTAGGCTACTAAGAAATTCCACCTGCAGCTATGTAAATAAAGAAAAACTGTATTTAAGTCATCTCAGGCACTAGCTCTGCCAATTAAAGCATCTCTGGATGACATACAGAGTACTTTACAAGGTAGCAGAAGGTAATGTGATTGGCACCATGTTCCATGGAAAGATGGAGACCAGTCTTTTATTATGGTATAAAATTAAAACATTTTATATGTAGTAAATCATGTTCGATTTCCTGTATAAAAGTCACATTTCTCTCAGACATCTTAATATAATTCCTTACAGATCTCTGTGTCCTGTGCCCAGCTGTCTCAGTTTAATGAGACTGAAGTGTTTGCTACAAAGGATGAGTTATGAGGAAGATCAAACTCCTCCCTCTAAGCAATTGTAAATCCAAAATTAAGAGGCTCCAGTTGAGGAAATATGGAGAAAGAAAAGATAACAGCCCTTTATTAAAGGATATATGTGTATAGGCAGCACAACAAAAGAACAAAAAAAACCCAAACAACAATCCTGCACCCAGAGTTCCCACCAAAAACAGTTCAGTACTTTTTGCCTTTTGGCCCAATTCTAACCACGGTCAGCAGGGGACGACGTTGGATCACTGGAGGGGCAGAGCCTGCAGTGCTCTGTGTTGGTCGGCAGGGGGCGGGTTATATGAAGGGTTAATATTTGGATACTGGGTAGAGAGTTTTCACATATTATTAACAAAAAAAGCAATAATGTTTCTTGATTCCTTTTAGGCATCATGAGTTTCCAGTGTTTGGTTCATTCTACCTTCTTCACTGTCTTTGTTATGCAGCTTTCAGAAATGGTGCTACTGATGTATATTGGTTTATATTATCATTGCAACAGTCTTTAGTGTGAGTAGATGCTTCCAGAGTAAGATCTCTACACCTTGTCTTTGAAAGACTGACTGTGAGAACCCATCCAAAGGGTTTTGCAAATTGCAGTTTTGTCCTTCTGCCTCAACTGAGTACTATGCCTAGAAATAATGCTACATTTGTACTTTATATCTTATTAAGGCATTTCTGACCATCTTCAGATTATTGTAATTTCCTGAGACAGAACCACAGTCATATTAAACCAGTATACCTGATAGGATTCTCATAGATGAGAAACAGCCAGCTCAGGTGACTGTCTATCCTACAGGAGTTTGCACAGCTTCATCAGCTTCTTAGATAGATGTGCCAATACGAAAAAGATGTGAAGCATCTATCTAGTGTTAAATGCTATTATTATAAAGTGCTAAGATTTAGCACTCTGAACTCCCTGCCTCAGAGTTGCAGATCATAGACTTCTGACACTCATCCCCTGTGATTGTAGCTTGGTGAGTGTTTATATAGAGAAGAAATTGCCATTCAGTAGCTGTGGTTTCCTGATATGTGTTGCTCTCTGAGCTTATCTTCTGGAATATTAGAACACTTCCATCTCGCAGAGGTGTGGAACTCTAGGGGGTGGTAGAGATTGCCCTGAAACTTGTATTTCTAGATGGAAATGGAGGGACACTCTAGGCAACCCGTAACAATGAGCAAAAGCTTTGAGTTCACAGAACATACATGTTCCAACAGTGAACAGATAAAGTGTTACTTAAGAGAATTAAATGTAGTATAAAATGAATGAAAACTTGGTAGCTTGCAAGAGTTTTGGATATTATGTACAAGGCTATAAAACTGCCTAGTTTATTTCTGCCAGTCAGGTCAATTTGCTGTGGGAATGAATGAAATGGTGATGCCTGTGAGTAATATCCATCATGGTGTCTGTTCTGTGAGGGAGGACAAGCAGCTTGGACTGTGACTTACCTTTTTTGTTTTCAGTACCACCCATAGCACAGCTTTCTGAGTGGATATCATTCTGCTGCAGCAGCATTTATCTTTTCTTTTCTGAATCTCAAAGTGATGTTTTTCTTTCCATACTTAAGCTCCCTGTATCTCCCCCCCTTCCCCTCCCCACCCATTTCTTTCATGCTACAAATTATTAAAGCGACATCTGCCCCCTCTGCAAACATAAATACTTGCTCTCTTCTCACTTTTACAGCTTCAGGGGATGGGAGGTGATACTATTGTTAGGCAGCGCTTCATCAGTCTGCTGGAAGCTTGAGGAGAGTGTGTCTGTCTGAAATTTGGTTTCATCCAGCTGAACCACGGAGTTGGTCTTCCAATGTTCTGTTTAGCTGATTGTAATTATTGAATACTCAAAAGTATTCATTGTGCTTCTTACAGGTATGGCAGTGCGAATGCCTCAGACAACCTATGTCGTGAACAACGGGCTGACTCTCGGGTCTGGAGCACCTCAGCTGACAGTGCATCATCGACCGCCGCAAGCGCACGCTGTGAGTGGTGCTTTGGAAATTACTGGATGCAATTTACAGGCCTGTCTCTGCATTAGTACCTCTCAGAATGCTTCTTAGCATGAACTGCAGAATAGTGATAGCCAGTTCACGTGCATAGCACCACCCAATCACCTACAGCAACTTCTGCCCAGAATAGTAAAAGCTGTGCAACCTGTTAGTTTACCCTGGCCTTCTCCAAATCACCAGCAGTGCATATTGAAAAGTAGTACATGAATTGTCTGCACGGACTTGTGGAGTCAAGGGTACAAAAGAACTGCTACTAAAAAACATTGAGTCATGGTTTGGCTATGAATTGGCTCACGAGCTTTTCAGTACAGCTGTTTGCAAAACTGAGGAAACAGAACAACATGCAAACGAGATCCCCAAGGTTGCCAATTCCTATATTTCAGAGGGTTTTTTTAAATCACTGTTGGGCGTGATTATTTCTGCATTGACTCAAACCCCTTTTTGTAAGTATTTGAGAATTTTCTCTGACTCATTTCATTTCAAATATGTTGCCTGCACACTCACTATTGGGCAGTTGCATTACTTATGGTGTCCTGAAATGGTAAATATATTATCAAGAAGGTGGCTTACCATTCCTTCAGTCTAAACACCATTCAACTTCATGCATTCTCCAGTGACAAATAATGAGACTAAATCCAACCAATATCACAGAGAACACTTAAGATGCCAAAATCTACCCCAGATTCCAACCTGAAAGATCCTAGGCTTGAAAAAATAACAAAATTTCATACTTATTGTAACCATGTTCCTAAATGCATCTTCACTAACATAAACAAGAGACCTAGGGCTGGTTTTGCAGTATAAAAAAGAAATATCATTGGAAAGAAATATTTTTGCCTTTATTTCAAAATTTTCTGGAAACTGAGGCTGAGCTTTTGTGGTGAATTTAAGGGATAAAATCCATGTAGCACCATTAACCTTTCTTCTGTTTGTGACTGAAAACCTGTCTGTTGAAAAGATGATGAGATGTCAGCTTAATGCACTGCCTGGGGTGTTTTGGGTAATGTGGGAACAGCAGCTCAAACGTAGATTGGCTCAAAGTCATTGTGAACCTGCCTGCTCAGTTACGGTAAAGAGCACAGTGTTCACTCCATCCCCTCTTACCTGGGAAGCAAAGAGGATATAGGGAAATAACTGCAGCAATGATCAGTTGTAGAGCTAGGGATTTATATGTAAATAACCTAAGAATTTATGGCATCCTTGGTCCCACCCCTTCTCAACATTTGCTGCTGCTCCCTTGCCTCTGCACACAGGACTGATAGTTGTGATGGCTGGATGATTGCAGGCTCATTTGCTTCCAGTTACCTGGGGAATGATGAATTAAGGCTCCTTCCAACTGCTGTAAACTCTGACCTTTCCCTTGTTGCCCTTATGCTGCTTAGGAGCCACCACGCCCTGTACATCCTGCCCCACTTCCAGAGGCACCACAGCCACCACGTCTGCCCCCTGAAGCTGCCAACACTTCTCCGCCTCAAAAGCCACAGCTGAAGCTGGCACGGGTACAGAGCCAGAATGGAATTGTGCTGTCATGGAGTGTCATGGAGGTGGACAGGAGCTGTGCCAATGTGGACAGTTACCATCTCTACGCCTACCACGAGGACCCAAGTGCCACTATGCCCTCCCAGTGGAAGAAGATCGGGGAAGTGAAGGCCCTCCCTCTCCCTATGGCATGCACTCTTACACAGTTCGTGTCTGGCAGCAAATACTACTTTGCAGTCCGGGCTAAGGACATCTATGGACGCTTTGGACCGTTCTGTGACCCCCAGTCCACAGATGTGATCTCTTCTCAGAGCAGTTAAACGGAGATCTTTGGAGCCTTTAAACCTGCCCTGGTACCAAGAATTACCCCAGTTCTGGGGGGAGTTGATCCCATGCATGTAATTCACTTTTAAATCCACTCTCTGCAGAATTATTTTAGACAGTTGTGTGATACACTACATGCATTCAGAACCAAAAGAAAAATAGTCACCTGCAGCAAGAGATCCTGTTTTTTCTGAATAGTTCATGTCATGGGCCATTTGAAACTTTCATTTTTGCTTCCATGACAGCTGTTCCATATAGATACCTACATACCCTTTATCCAAGGGCATCCTGAATGCCTGGGATTCTGCTTCTGAGTGGGAACAAAACAGTAAATTACAGTTTGTCTGAAGCAAAACACACACATTTGTACTGGAAGATTGAGTGGTCTGGTCTTACTTTACAAACTGGAATGAACTCTCTGAGGGAAGGGAAGGGAAGGGAACTTCTAGTCTGGCCAGGAACCCATATGTATGTAAATTTGGAGGTGGTGGGGGGAAAAAAAAATCACCCCACAACCTCCTACCTCTTATAAATAAGAACGCTCCTCTACTTTCACCATCCTCCCCCACTTGCCCTGGGAGCATTCCCAGGTCGTATCTGACAGTGAATTGTAGAGCTGCATTCACACCTCTCTAGTTCAGACAGTTTCTCTGCCCCTCCCCTCATACATCCAGCCCTATTTTTTAGATTTATTTTGTGCCTTAAAGAATAATTTCAAAAATAAAATGTAGCCAGATACCTTGTGGTGTTCTTTTATTTGCTTGGAGTTATTTTTCCCTTTATCCTTCTAGTCTTTCACTAGTGCTTTTCATTTTCCAGGCCTGCTGTAATTATTATTTCTGTTAAGACCAGGAAGTGCAACATCTGCTGATGCTGAACTCGTTTTTATCTGCATTCTATCTGAGTATCACTCAACCCTTTCCTCACTGTAATTCTTGAGCAGTTGTTTTTGTCCTGTCAAGAATATTACAGTATACAGACAGTATTTTCCACCCAAGCCTTTCCCTGTTCTTTTGGGAAAGCTGTATGCTGCAATTCAGCCAAAGAAGAAACCTCTGTGGTGTGGCACTATGAAAGCTTCTGCCTGTTGGCACTCAGTTTGGATGTTCAGTGAGTACGGAAAGAGAAGTTGGCTTCCCAGTTGTCTTCTCTCTCTCAGCCCCTGCCTGCCTCTGCAGAAAACCAACACAGCCAAAGGAGTTTAGAAACTATTTTAGACACTGGCCTAAACCTTGTGAGTAATTGCAAATGTTAGTAGATGCTTTCATGATGCTTCTGAGCTGAGAAAAGAAAATTGGTGCATCTGCCCCGCTGTCGTTGACATGTTAAACTTGCTGTTTGCAGAGCCAAGTTGTAACTCACCTGGACAAGAAAGTGTATGTAAGGTTTTGATTTTGGCAATTTTCAGTTGCATTCCTGCCCAACAAAACCAAACAGTGGGTTTAGAGGGGAAAGATTCTTTTTTTTAATCCATCGTATAGCAAAGGTGCAGAATATAATATTTTTTCATTTCGATACCCTTTTTCTTACAACCAACATTTTGAAATGTAAAGCAACGTTGAAAAAGTGTCAGAAAAATTAAATCCCAAAACAGGACTGGTGAAATATACTATGAGATTATGGGTTCTTTAGTTATGTTCCTTTTGAGAACTTTTAACACTGAAAGAAATGTCATTGTATACTTTGTCTGGTTTACTGTACTCCATGTAGCTGGGATTGTCACTTCTGTCAAGTAAGCAACAGCTATTCTCGGTGTGGAAACTTGCATTTAAAGTATAGCGGTTCTGTTGATTTGGGCAACCAAAAATTCTGGCTAAATCCAAGTATCATCAGAGAAGGTTCACACCAACTCTCATGTAGGAACGATTTTCTCTGAACTACAGCTCTCCCTGTATTTCTGGTGCCAATAATCAAAAATGCCTTGAATTTGTCTATGTTTAATTAATTTTTTGTCTGCCTATTTCAAGGAATAATTACTTAATAATGCATTTAGTCTTATTTAGTCTAAAGTGGGGTTCTTATAAAGCCAGTTCTGTAGTAGAGGTTAGAGCAGTTCTTTCCAGTTGATGGCTGTCAAGTCCTGCTTGGGCAATTTTTTTTTAATGTGTCTTTGAGGTTGTACCAAAGAGCCCTTGGCCATATCAGTACAATGAAGTTTTACAGTTTTAAAATTAGACTACAGTCTGGAATTTATGCACTTATTTGTGATTCCAGCCCAAACAATAAATGAGCTTTTCTATAATTTGTGCTTGCACTTAGATCTTGTTTTTAGGTTTGTCTTGTTTGGGAAAGGCAGGGGGTGCGGGCCCTGCATTAGAATTTTTTCTTTCCTTCAGTGAAGTATTATTAGGGATGGTCTGGCATTCTGTTTGGAGGTTTTGCAGGTTGCATCCTTAGAGAAAGAAGACTCACCTTTATTTACTCCAGATGTAGTTCTTCACTGAACTGATTGTGAAAACTGGCTTCTGGCTTAACAGACCCCTTATGCTACCGAACACGGGTATTGCTTAGTTCCTTACCTCATGGCACTTACCCCATGTGGTGGAGTGGCTGGTTATTTTATTATCCTTTACCTCCTAGAAAGAATAAAGCTACTGAGAAACTAAATTTCTGCTAGCAACAAACAATCAGAAGTAATTTGTTTCATTTATTAGAATTTATTTGGAAGTATTACCAGAATATTCAGGAACACTCATTACAGGTCTGTTACTGCTGTGTCTCTAGACTGGTCTCCTCATTAGCATCAATTGCTTGAGCCTTCCAGTAATCCACTTTTAAATATGCTAAAAAGCTGTATATGGCTTTTAAGTGGAAGAGTTGGTTTTAGTTTCTTCTCTGCACTTGATGCAAGGTTTTCCATCTGACTTTAGGTAGCCTGGTATAAAGTTGTTCCTGATTGTGTGTTTTGCTGCTGCCTCTGGGTACGCAACATTTCTGCAGTACTGCCCTGGATTTAGTTTCCCATGTTTTAGCAAACACGGCACTGATTCTGCAGCTGTGTTTTCCACCATTATTTACTTTCTGGTGTGTTTTAGGTTTTGGTTGTGTGTCGCAACAGCCTCTCAATGTCCAGGCTGAATGTAATTTGAGTTAGTCCACCTACTTGTAGAGGAGCCCTGCTGTGCAGTGCTGATGGCAAAATGCCATTCCTGTCCACTGCACTTCTCCTAGTTGCAGCTTCACTGGCCTCTTTTATTTTGCTCTGTGTCTAAAAAAGCTTTATTGCAAACAAAAAACTAAAGCCGTGGAGGGGGCAGGCTGCAAGTGTAGCATCTGTACTGCGCCTGCAGTGGCAGCTTCAGAAAGCACAAGGGTGCAGAGGCAGGTTCCCCTCAGCCTGTAATTATTTCCATGCTCTGAGCAGCTTCCCTAGGAGTAGCAGTTGGGCTTAGACTTTGCTCCTTTGAATTATTTGTACTACCTTTGGCCACGTTAGATCACTGAGCACAAGCACTGAGACACTCACCCATTCCCAAGGTTTTTAGCACTAGGCTGGAAACACCCATGGTGTTTTCCCTGTAAAATTAAGGGGTCTTACCCTGCTTCCTTTGAAAATGAAGGCAAAACCCCTTGTGCCTTCACTGGGAGCATGATTGGACCAAGTGGTAGAATCTGAACACCATTTTGTACTGTAACAAAACCAGTCACTTCAGCCCACCCTTCATGCTGTTTGTCTTAAATGTCCAATAAATTAAAATCTGTATTGTATGTAGGAATGAGTCATGTTTGTTGCTGCTCCCTAAACAGCCATTCCCCAGGATGAGTATTGCATACACTGTAAAAAATCAAGCTGTGATTCTGCCTTCTTATAAACTCTTTTGAGTATTTTCCTTTAGTCAAAAATATCTATGCAGATATTTTAAATAGAAGCTTGATATATTAAATATATATTTTTTTAGTTTTGCTGATTTGGGTTGGGCTGGGCGTTGTACGAAAACACTGGAGGGAGAGGAGTTCAAATGACACTGAGCCAGGCCTGCTACCCAAGTCTGTATTCCCTTAAAAACATCTTCTGAGGGGAGAAGGAAAATAATAAGGATAGCTAGGAGAAAGCAAATGAATGATTTTTCCTTTTCATTCCTTTTAAGTTAAAAATGCATCTTTATTTCTTATCATCATTATGCAGGCTGAGTATTCTTTTCTTCTCTTTTATATACATATACACATGCATATATATATATACATATATATATATTTGAAGTGCTGTCTTAATGAATTGTAGTTGTAAATAAGATAACTGGGTAGTAGCTGTTTGGGGAGTCCTCTTCAGCTTTAGTAATTTATTGACTATTGGGAGTCAAACATGCAAAATCCTTTTTTGGGAAACTCCACATCTGATTTCTTGTTCTGTTTTGCAGCTGGACTTGTAAATACAAAAAAACTAATTTAATGTCCAATTTAAACTGGGCAGTTGCCAGCTCTCCCCATATTGTAGATTAGTGTGTGTCTGTATTAATTGTAGTGGAGTTTTGTCTGACAAGCCTGAAATTTATACTTTGAAATAAACTTTTGGGTTTTTAACATTTTGAGTCATCTGTACTTAGTTCCTGACACCTCAGGAGACAACTCTCTCAAAAAAGAGCCCAAAGCCTGCTCTTCCTCTTCACCTCTTAAGAGGTGGCTCCTCTTAAGCCACTTTGCTTAAGTGACACTGAGCCACAATAGTTTGGCTCTTCGTCATTCCCAGGGAAGCAACTGCATGATGCTGCCCTCACAGAAGCAAGAAACAAAAGCGTGCTGTAACTTCTGGAAAGCCACCTTGCAAGCACTTCTGCAAAGCTTGGACAGACAAAATCAAGTAACCTGCTCCCCAGAGTCGCCCCAGAGGGATACAGGAATGGAAACCCAGTTGCTGGTGCTACTCTAAAAACAATTTTCCTCCAGAGTGCCAGGTTTGATCTCCGAAAAAATAGTCACTCTTAGCAAGGGGCTTGGATCAAAGTACTGGATTATGACTTTGGTTTTTCACAGCACCTTGAGCCTGCAGCAGTGGTCCCAGCACACTCAACTGGCCTTGGTTCTCAAGCCAGGGGACAGCTGTTGTGCACAGCACTAATTGCATTGGTCAAGAGTAATGAAATAAGGGGTAAATGAAAAGGGTGTTTCAGTGCAGGGATCAAGTCTCTGCTCCCCACCCTACTGCTTCAAGGGTAGAAGCCAGGAATGGCACCATGACATGGGACCAATAAGATGCTGGACTAGATGGCAGTCTGGGAAAAGCTGATTCTTGGACCCAACTCTGTTGCCAAATTGTAGAGAACTCAAAGTACTTGGAGTTACAGACATGCCTACCCTGAGTTAGTGCTGACCCTGTACTTCGAGGGCATGTAGTTAATTTGTGATGGTAATAATTAGTTTCCTTGCACTTACTAAAATTTGCTTCAAGTCACCAAGCAGAAGATAATGGACTCCTGTGAAGTGATGCCTCAGCACAATCCCACTTCAAAGTCCTGAGTTTCTCAAACTGGCTATTTAGACTAAGAGTATACCTACTGCACATAGTTTAGAACATGAGTTTTATCATCAAATACAGTGTAACCACTCTGCTCAAGCACTGCTGTAATTGCAGTCTGTGCTGGAGTAAAGCCAAGTGAGTAAGTGAACATGCAGAGCACTCACTGTTTTGCTGCAGGGTGGCTTTGGCACTATACAACCACGAGAGGTGAGTTTGCTACTGGACTTCAGAAAAGGGGAATGGCAAAGGAAGTGAAAGCCTGCATTACATGGGTAATTTTGGTGGTCCTGCTGGGAGGAGTCATTTCCTCTGTAGGCATTGCCTAGTGACTGAACAGCAGGTTTCTTTTCTTTATTGCAAGAGAGATTTATCACAACGACCTCCTAATTCCATCTCCCTACCAAGTAAGTGTCTCTCCAGCCAAGCCTGAAAACCTGAAGTTTAGGAGACAGAAGCTACAGGACTTGGAAAAATCTGGAAGTAGGGGGCAACTTCTGCCACAAATCCTCTGCTTAGAGCACACCTTCCCCCCTTTTTTTTTCTCCAAGTGGGATCTGCAGAAGGGAATAAGATATTCAAAGAGACCTTTAAACTTCATGTGGCTGCCTGAGACTTATGCTGTCAGTCCTCTTGCCCCTGCAGGGCCATGCAGCCCTACTCAAAGCCTTCTCCTCTGGTCACTGGTGCAGCTGTGCAGGGAAGAGGAGCTCAACCCAGCTGCTGTGGTCATGGCTGGCAGATCAACCTGGGCTGCCCTGACAGCAAAGGAAGCACAGTAAGAGGAATGCAGTGGCCTTTAACAGCACAATCATCAAAGGCAAAAAAAAATAATCACAGTCACACGGAATGAAGTCCTAAGGCTCATAAGGTCCCATTGATGTAAATATTTACTCATAGAAAAGGACTCCTAAAAGTAGAGCAGTTTTCCCACAACTCTGGGTTGGAGCACAAAGCAGCTCCTGCCTCAGGGTAGGACACCAGATGGGAGAAACTCAGAGCTCCTATTTTCGTGCATATTTGGCATGTCATGGGCACATCACGTGCCACGCACCTCCACTCCCTGCAGGGGGAAGCATCTAGGTGTGCCCTGGATCAAGAACAACACAAATCAGTTGGTAACTTCCTGGTCCCTGGGAACCAACTTTAATAATACTCCTCCATTAGCATTTTCATATAAGATTGTGTGAAAAAGCAGTGAATACAACCTGCAATGTTTCTGTGTTTTCTAGGAGTGACAGGGAAGTCAAGCCATCCTCCAGCCCCCCTGTGCTTCTAGTCTCAAACAAGCAGCTGATTCTTGGTCTTCTGCTTGCTGGCAGCTCAGATCCCTGTGCTGCTCTTCATGACCCAGCTCCACTCCATCTTTTAAGTGTGCTCCTTAATGTCTGTTACAGCCTATTCAATCCAATTCAATTCAATCTGTGCCAGTGGCTCCACCACCACAGGAAGGAGGTCTCTGCACAGAGAGTTTGGAGCAGGGATGAGGCACCCAGAGCAAGGGCTCACACAGAGGCCAAGGTCCCTGCAGTCCCAGCTGTGGGCAAGCAAGGCACCTTCACTGACTCAGGTAGGAGTAAGAGGGGGTGCTGTGTCTAAAACTCTGTGACCATGGCAGACTCCTCCCCATACATGCAGGTGGAGAGCACCAGGGCATCAAGCAAACATGACACATTCATCCTCCTCTAGCACAGGCACAGCTGCAACTGGCACAGACACCAATACCTACACTGCATCTGTGTAGGTACCAGAGCTGAGTCATTTGGCTCAGTAAATTTTACCAAACAAAGGACTGTATTGAAAAGCAAAAAACAGCTCTGTGGTGAGTACTTCAGCAGTTAGTCATTTTAAGCAGTGCTCCCCTAACCCTGCACATGCAAAGACGCTCTCTCCAGCCTTTCACACCTACCTCCTTCTACCTCAGCAAACAAACCATTTCAGTCCCTGCATGGATTTTTCATCCTTAACAATAGTTTTCCTGTAACTTCTGGTCTCCCTCTTTCCTTGGCAGAAATCAGCCCTACTGTGACAACTGGATATTTAGAGTAGAACCTGACCCATGTTGCAGTAACTCGTTCCCTTCCCCATCACACAAGCTAAACTCCAGGGGCTTGATTAAAACCTCACACTGCTCATCCTTCTTCACCTTCATAATATAGGGCAGTGCTGTGCACTGTTTAGCTTGGACCATCAAGGACATGTGGAAAGAGCTGTTTATTTTGTTTTACTTAATTACACATATAATATCTAGCACAAAACAGCCCAGTGACTCAACTCCTCAGCATAAACACAGGTAACTAAGAGTAATGCATCCAGCTCTGGCTCTCACATCCATCTCACTGTCACATTCCACTGCCACAGCTGAGGGAGCAGGTAAAGATGTCACCAACTGCATGAGCCAATCCACTGCAAAAAGGATCCATTGCAAGAGATCCATTGCACCACAGTTCTGTCCCTGCTGTTAGGCTGCAGCTGTGGCAGGGGCACGTTTCCAAAAGCATCAGGCTGCTTGCCCTTCATCCCCTCTGGCAGACTGATCATTGCAAGCTGCTTTGGCCAGACAAAGAAAACCTTGCCAACACCACTGAAAGCTGTGTCCTGTAGATAACAGACCCACCTGCCATGGGGAACACAGCCTTGACTCTCTCCACTGGTGACATTCCTGGATGGGAAGCAAAATCTTGCAGCACACCTTGCAGGCACTCCTCAGACAAAAGGCAGACATCAAACTAATGCTGATATAAGGCCACCATAGCCCACAGCAGCCACCTGGCTCAGCCCAGCCCTGAAGACAGGTCCCATGTTGCTGCTAGAGACAGATCACTCTCATTGGTGGCACTGCTCTTCACTCCAGCTCTGGGAACAGCTGATGATGGCTCAGATCAACAGAAAGCTGTGCTACCTGCTTCCCATCAATCCTAGTCAGAGGAAGGGCTGCCCAAATAGCTCAGAAGAAAGGAACATGCACTGGACTGCACTGAAGCAGCCAACATCAGTACCAAGTACTTAGCAGGCAGGACAGGGGAAAGCAGGTAAGGCACAAGGATGTGGACATCCAGATCAATTTATTACACACAAGAAATAAAATTTTCATTAAAAAAAATCCATATGAGGATATTGACACTGGTTTTACAGGATGGGCCTCATGGTGACAAAATCAAAGTTGTATGATTCTGGCAGGCCCTGGTGCCGCGTGCGGTTAAATCGTCTCCAGGTGAAGACAGGGAGCCCTCCCTGCACTGGAGGGCCATTGATGGCAGAGGCTGTGAACGCTGATGCCAGGCGGAAATCTGACACCTGTAACAAAGGACAGGAATTCAGGGCAAAAGGACTGCACGGTGTTTGACACATCCCCATCCCGGACAGCAGGAGATTTGACAGCTCTGGGAGATTTGGTAACAGTGAAGTGAAAGAAGTGAGCAGGGGAAATGCACATTGATCAGGCAGCATTTCTCCCCTGCACAGAGGCATCTTCAGCTGGCAGCAGCAAAGCACACTTGCCCTCCAGCCCCTGCACTAGCCAGGCTGAAAGAAAGTGCCCTCAGGACAATCCTCCCTCAATTTGTGTGCCTCCAAAAGAGCTGAGGCTTCAGCAGGCAGACCAGGGTTCTGACCTGAGCTCTACTGCATGTTAAGCACTTGGGCCGTTCCCTGGGGCATGCTGGGGTAATTCAGGAATGGAGAAAGGCAGCACAGAGTTAATATTTCTGCCCAGA